CCCAGATCCCAATTTTCCAGAGAAACTCACCCATGCCACACACTACTTATCAAGCAGTAACTGCTCCTTCTCTTTGAGAAGCTCACAAAGCTGAAAAAGCCCAAATGACTGTGAAAGAGTGAAACAGAAGTGCTCTAGACCAAGCAGCATGCAGGAGTTACAATAAACTTGGTATATTCTTTCTTAAGAGGTCACTTTCTGTTGCAGTGTGACTTATTTGGCACTACAGAATTGCTGTGAGCCAACAGCCAAACACCAAGTGAAAATACTGCAAAGCAATCCTGATGTCTTCAGTGCTTTGACTGATTCATGTACTTTCACACTGAACACCAAAAGAAGGCAGAAGGCCTTGGACTTTTAGCTAACAGAGCTATCACAAAGAAAAGCTCAAAGAAGAATGTGAAAAAGTCATCTCTTGATTACCATGAGCAAAGCTAACGCTAGGTTTTCCTTATCTGTAAGCAGGTGTGCAAATGAACAGAACAATGCAGCCACAATGCCGGCACAAGACTGCCAGCTCCAAAGAAATGCAGCAAGGAGGCTGCTCACACATTTCTTACTCACAGCTCCCATTGTCTGCCCCTGCAGAGATTAACTCTTTGCTCCCCCCTTCCTGAAGAAGGTCTCTCTACCAACAGTTCCCCTATTTAAAGCTTTCGCTGACCCACTCGAAGCTCCAAAGCTTGATTCATTTTGACTTTACATTCAATTACGGGCTAAGATAAGGAGGGGAGAGACCTCTGTCCACACATTAACAAAAGCACACACTGATCTGCATGCAGACAAGCCTCCTGGTGGCACCCATCGGGCTGCCCAGACCTAACAGAGGAAGCTGATGAGAAAAGGAGGAGATTGAAAGATCGAGCAAGAAACATGGTGAGCAGAATTTGATGTTGGGTTTCAACAAGTTACTTCTGGGGGGAAAAAAAAAAAAGAGAAGTCAATGTTTTCCAGTTATTGTATACGACTTTACCACTTCCATTTTTATGATAACTGCTTTATAGAAGGCTCTCTGTGGTCTGCTTTAACTTCTTCCTTCTTGTAAAGAATACCCTCAAAAGCTTTTGCTTAAGCCAGCAGCAGCCCAGCAGTCTTTCCCAAGCCGAACTCACCAGATACTAATTGTTAGTTTAATCATGGGAGAGATCCATTTTTTAATTTGGCCACCTTTACACCGCTAATTAAGTAATATTTTGCCGATTAGTTGAACCCAATCATTCCATTTCAGTGAAGTCATGGTGTCGTGTCGGAACACAGTGCTGGGTGCTCCGAGTCACCACGGCTGGGTGTGGTGAGCGTACTTTGTTCTGCTCCTGCACTGGGAGACCTGCATGAGGACATGGAAAAGCAATCCAGCTCAAGGCACAGGACCTCTGAGCAGAGCTGCAGAGATGGGTTTCACATGTGTCCGACTGCCACTATCACAAAGTTCATCTCTTTAACTCCTTGCAGACAAGAAGCCGCCTCTCCGAGCAGGAAGTTGTTTGGTGGAACTCCTGACGCAATGCAAACCGAAGCAGTTGCAGCTTAGTTTAATACAAACCCTCTTGAGTCCACGTTGACAAATTCTTTAACAAGCCCTGTGGTTACAGGGAAGCTGGTTTCAGTCTGAGTCACTCCTGTTCAAACAGTTTACTGGAAATGGAGGGGAGGGGGAATTTTCAGAGAAGTCATGTGATGGCCAGACAAACCACAACCAGTAAAGGTTCAGTGGAGGCAAAAACAGGTCCCAGCAGCAACGGGCAGCCAGTGTGCAGATGGCACTGGTCATTTACCAGGGGTCCTGCTGCACCCCGGCATTTCTGCAGATTTAACCCTTTGTCAAGTTTGTGTCCTTGCAGAGGCAGGATGCAGCCTGGGCAGTCAGCGAGCAGCAGGGGCTGACAGTAACACAGGCAACTCCAAAACATTTTCACGTGGAAATTTGGCTTGCAGAGAAGCAAAGCCTAATGTGTAAATAATTAGTTTTTTAAAATATGCTACTTAATGAATCCAAGCACTTGATGTCATTAAGGATTAGACAGATAGCAAAGATTTTGGTACTTCTCTTAGCAAAGAGTGCTGTGGCACTGCAAGGCCCACGCAGCATCCATCAGCAGGAACCTCGAGGGCAGCTGGCACTGAGCTGTGCCACCAGAAACCTCTGCCAGCTTATGGCACTTCAGCACAAGAAAACTCAAGAGCACTTCACAATCAGCAGCCATTAATCACGAGCAAAGGAAAAGCCCTGCACTCGGGTGCTTGGCCACGAGGCACAGAGCTCTGCTCGCACTGTATGATCAGCAATGTGCTGCCCCAGCACTGAGCAGCAGATTCACTTCCCCTAATTGAGAGGTTGGTTTGAACGCAGTGCTGCAGATCCCCACTGCCACGAGGGAGCTCTGCTAAAAATCACCACTGTCCTGGAGTTTGACTGGAAGAGAGTTCAGAGCAACTGGACACCATTTTAAACATGTATAATTCTAAAACAGTGCCTAAGCACTAACAAATCAGAGCAAGCTCTGCTCCTGTAGCATGCTGGGCTCTGCATCGTGTGCAGCTCTGAGAAACGAGAGCCCTGCCTGTAAGCCACACTCCTTCTCTGGGACAAAGCCACTCCATTTGAACAAGAGCAGCCACAAGGCAGGAGAAGCTCTGGAGCTCAGTGTGTGCAAACAGGACTGGCTCAGCAGCACGCACAGATGCTTGGAAAGGAGAAGTGAGTGTGCTTTAAAACGAGGGGCTTTTCCAAAGTACAGCAATGGGGAAAGTACGAGGCAGCCTCGCATCATCTGCAGGATAATGGGTTTTCTCAAAACCCAGCTCAAGGAGAAAGGTCACTTGGATTTACAATTGACACAGCATCACCCAACAGACTCTTCAAAGTAAAGTAAATAATATTTCACTCCATGCAGTTTTGAATGGAGTACTAAAAGAGAATTAACAGTGTAAAATTTTTAAGTTCCCTTTTTTTTGGTGGTTGTTTTTTAAGATGCCAAACTAGCAGGAACATTCCCCCCTCAAAGATCAGTCAGGCTGGATGTTCAATTCATGGCCTATTCTCACCATAGAAGATCCTCATCTGGTTCTCAAAATTACCATTGTTTTTTGAGAAACAGCAGCAAGCAGCTCTAAACAAAACACACGCAGGCAGAACGTCAAGCTGTTTGGCTGTGCCTCGTAGGCATTCTCTACTCAGCAGAAGTAGAGGGGGAGGCAATTCTTCCAAATCCAACGCACCCGATTTCACGCCCTTCAATACGGCAGGCTGAAGCGAGACCTTTCTGCTGAGAGAAGGCTTCTGTCACTTGACGTCAAACAGCCGCGCTGCCTCCATGGAGTGACACACTTGTCACATTCCCTGCTTTCATGGCCATAAGACCTAAACCTGGAGAATGGCACAAGCTGATGTAGGTAATAAAGACTGTTACTGAGCAATTTAAAAATAGACTTTATAACTGGTCACGGAGTTGCAATTACAGAACAAATAGTGATAAGCTGTGCTAACGATTGGGATTTACTCAAGGTCATAGGAATAGGCAGGCCTGCCTCCCACAGACATCTAGCAAAAACACGATCGATGCCAAAAGCCAAAAGGAAGTCATATTATTAAGTGGAAAAAACTCAACTGTCAGTTTTATAAGTGCAATACAATTTAATCAGACCGTCAAAGCCTCATGTTAAGAGAATTTTATAGAAACCAAACCACAAGTGTAGTTCAAAAAGATTTTTTTCTTTCTGGCTATCCATCCACAAAACATGTTTCAATCCCAACTCAACTGTCAAGAAAATAAAATCAAAAATACTGTTAAATAACAGCACCATTTTCCTTAATGAGTGACACAGTGCCACCCATCTGCTCAGAGCAGTCCATACAGCCAGCCACGCTTTGGCCTGTCCTGACAAAACACTCTCTAGCAAAAACGTTCTGCCCAAGAATCTCACTGTGCATTTTGCAAACGGCTCTGGCTGCTCCCAGAGCTTTATGTGCTGTAATTTGCTGGGAGTTTCAGTAAGCACAGATAGCACCTCAGCTCTCAAGTCATGCATTTGACTGTCGGTGGTGTTTCTTTAAATGGGACGTGCTTTTTATACAGCTGGGGATTACTTTGCCAAGCAAAGACTGACAGCACAACAAAGACCAAAGCAGTTTTGTTTTTCTTTTTGCCCCCTTCCACTACATCTTCAAAGAAACAGAAGAATTTACTAATGAAATAGCAGGAAAACCCTATGGAACTTTTTAGCAGGGGAAGGCTCTCATAAAACACAGGGCTCACTGTTATCATTACTAGATTGCACTCAGTATTTCCAAAAGCTTCATCCATTATTGAGGAGGGGAAAAGAGAAGTATTTATTTATATCAAGAAAGTTCCCTAGCAGAACAGTTAATGGCTATGGATGGCTTCTGAAGAAGATGCAAACTCCTGTCCTGAATGCAGAACTGTAACATCTGACTGACGTACAGCATCAGTTGCAAACTATGTTATCACACAAATGGTATTTAATCTTTCAAGAGAACAAATCACAAGATGAACAACATAAAGGGATTCAGGGCAGTTTCACTGCATTTTTCACATCAGGAAAAATATGTTTCCTCTGACTGATGAGGCTGTCAGCAGCCAAGGTCATGTGGAGAGGGATAAGCTGACTGACAGTCACCTGGCCCAGGGAGGTTTTAAACGCAGCTTTTCCATCATCATGGTTGTTACAGCCTCTCCTCTGTCACCAACCTGTTTGCTTTCTCTCTACCTATACTGTGCTGCCTTTGGAACTGTAAATAAATGCAGCATTCGTAGCAAACGCTTTGGCTGCACTACCACACGTGCTTCAACAAGCTCAATTCTCAATCTCCTACCCCAGAGGTATCTCTACCTGACGGAGAATCTCCCTCCACCCCTGGGAAGTCCCTCGTGTACTTGCACCAACTGATCTTTGGCCTATTCCCATTTCACTGCAATGGTTATTTACTCCCATCTAGTAAAGCTGTGTTTTATTAATTCTTTCTTTTGCACTGTTCTTACTTGTGCAGTCTCTGCATGTTCCAGCATCTCCTCAAATTCCTGGTACTCTTCATCATCAGGTTCAGCACCAGAGAGCCGGGCTGCCCTTGCCATGAAATACGGAGGCAACTCTCCGATGGCTGTGCCAGCACCCTGGGAAGAGAATAATCCAGATTTATTTCTCTGCTCTCAAATGGGAAACGCAATATGCACAGACAATTCAAAAGGTTAGAAGCCAGAGATGTGTGCCACGTTATAACTGCAGAGCTGTGCTTTGAGGAGCTTGCTTTCATCCACCAGGACCGCTTTTTCCTGACATTAAATAAAAGCCACTAGCTTTGAGATCCCATTTTTCCATATTAGGGAAATGCAGCTTTTCTCAATGCAGAGCCACACTGCAAGGTCACTGCCGTGAGCTCTGCCTGCCCTGGGGCCAGCAGTGTGCTGCTCTGGGGTGCTGCAGCCCATCCCCATCCCACTTTCTGGCCCAGCCCGGCCATCTCGCCTCCTGCATGGAGCCAGGCACACTAGCCAGCATGTGACAGCTCCTGCACAGCCTGCAGAGCGATCTGCGAGCTCCTCCCCTGTGCCGTCATGCAGTTTACTTACGGTTCACAAAGTCATGAGACCTTGTGCAAGTGTTTATTAGAAAACAGGGTCAAGTTTTACTACAGCTATGAGCAAGGAAACAAAGCTCGATCTGGAGATTTCTCTCTCCTTAAGATGGAATAAAGAAAGCCAAGAGAACCAGAGATGAAAGCAAGGTTCCTTTCTCACCACAGGAAAATTATATTTGTTTTCTCAAGACATCAAATGACTCATTTTAGTCTTGTGGGTAAATACAACTTTAGCTTAACCAAAGAAAAAGAGTAGAAAAGAGAGACGACCGAGACTGAACATATGGATAAACAGAGGCTAATGAAACAGGAACTTGGATTAAACTCAGAATAGTTTAAATATAGGACAGGTAACACACAATAGTCGGGCAGCACACTGGAAAAGTGCTAAAACTGAGCTGCATGCAAATGGCTTTCCTTTCTTAGGGTCGGGAGTGAGTAACAAATGGTTTTCTATCCCTTTGAAGCTATGTAAAAGCCTTTCAATTTCCTTTGTTCCCACTCTATATGCAGCTGCATGTGAGGGAGAATTCCAGCTGCTGTGGGTACTCCAAACCCACAGGTTGTGGCTTTCCATCCCGCCATTCTCTGCAGTTACCCCACCTGCTAAGGTCTCATTTCAAGCACATCATCACACGTTCACGCCTCGTTTTCCACAGCAGAAAAGCTCAAACGGGTGCAACGAGCTGAACTTCATTAATGTGCCTGCTGCTGGCACAGGGGGGAGATCAGTCTGCACACAGTAGCAAGGATGGTTCAGAAAAATTCACTTGAGGTTATGTTCTCAGGGTGATGCAAGAGCAAAAAGTCACATTGCTCCTCCAGGCTCTGCCAATTCGCCTTGGCTTCGTCCTGCTAGCTGAGGAAGAGGTTTGCATGCGTGTACTGGACGTGAACTTTCATTAAAGTGGATCAGTCACATGCCCATTACAAAACATCTCCGAGTTGCAGCAACATCATATGATTGCAGGGCTACCCAAGATAGGTTCCCTAAGAATGTTTAAGGAAAAAAATAAAGCAAGCAATTAAGGATAAAACCCAGTAACTATTTAACTGCTTTCTGTAACATTAGCTCTGTAACACTGAATGCATGTTCTGCTGGCTGCAAATTGGAAAAGCAAATAGGTGCTGAGCAAAATTCTTTTACACAGTATATTCAGAAAAGGAAATGGGGAAATGACTCCACTAGAAGAGTCGTTAGAACTGATTTTGTCCCAGTCAGCATACAGGCTGCCTGTTTTGCTAATCCCCAGCAATTAAAGATTTTTATTCTTTCCCCTCCTTTCTTGTATAAAAAAAAAGAAAAAAAAAGCTGCAACACATTAAAAATGTAGGGCACTATTGAATTCCTCGTCCCTGTGGGATAGCAGGCTGTGAAAACTGGCATACACCTAGCAGATTGTTTTGGGGAGTCTTTCTGCAGGCCAGGACTGGTGGAGCCAATTTTTATAGTGATTTTTAAAACCATCATTTCCATTTCACCTAATAATTCCTTAGATACGGTGGTATTTAATTCCAGCAACACTCATTATCAGCAGAAATGAGAATCACTGACGTGCAGGGGAGCAGTAACGATTTTAATCTCTGGAAAAAGCTGTACCTGGTTTAGGTTGGCTGGAACAGATGCTGATGTTTTTGTGATCTGAACCCAATCCCTGCTGCAGAGCAATCCCTGCACTCAGGCCTTGCAGGATGCTCAGCCTGGGCCGCCTTACAGGCAGAGCTCTGCCGAGCGCCCCGCTGGGACCGCCCCGCTTTCAACGTTTTACATGAAATCTTATCTTCCTACCCCTCTCCTGTCTCCTGCCAAACAATCAGGGAGATCAGCAGCTCTCACTCTGCAGCCTTTCGACAGCGTTTCACTTTACAAGGCTGAAGGAATGAGGCTGGCAGCGCTGCTGCACCTCTTCCTCTCAGAGCTCCACGTGCTGTGCAAGGAGCACATCTGCACACATCCAGTCACTCCTTTGCTTTTGCATCTATCCACTGATACATTCAGATTTCACATCCAATTAGAAGTTCCCACTTTCACTAAAAAAAAAAAAAACAAACCAAAAGAGTTCAGTCAATGAAATCCAATGAGGAATTACACTGACTATTTCCCATTTCACTTCCAAGCTGAAAATGAATCCAAATCAAGAATTTTTAGTAAGGTTCTGAGTTGTAAAAGCTCATCTTGCTTTGTCTTCTGGAGGCTGCTGTTACTTTCCATATCAGTGGGATCTGGTTTAGATACGACAGAACCCAGAGTTTCTTCAACAGTTTCCATAAAACATGAACTGGAATTAGGACAAAAGAAACACACTGGAAGAAGCAGCAGCAGTCGCCAACGTGATCTGGCTTACAGGAAATTAGCAAGCGATGTTTATGTACTCATGAAACATTCCAAGAAAGCATAACATTACACTAGACACCACTGAGAGACGGGGACGCTCCCGAGGGAAAAGCGAGTGGAGACAGAGGTCAGCAGCAAGGTGGTGGTCAGGGAACTCCAAGGCGAGAAGGGAAGGAGGGGAGGGGGACAGTTTGCTCCAATGCCTTTCTCCTTTCCACAGCCTGGACCAAGAAATGCTGCTCTCACAAAGGACTGGAGGTACTGCTTGTTCTGCTCGGAAGGACGCAAGCTTTCAATGCTTGCAGTGCTATTAATTCATTTCTGAGCTAATTCTCATCATTGTTCAGTTATTCTAGATGCTGAAGATTAAGCAACGCGTGTTTACCCTCAGTTGCGTTTGTATTTTGCAACCTAGAAACATGGTTATAAATGCCATTTTTGTCTGCATTAAACAAATTCAAGCAGAGGCAGAGCAGCAGCAAAATAAAAAAAAGAAAAAAAAGCTTATATTTATGGTCTTATAAGTACTTGCACCTCCAGCCACACATCAAGCATTCAGGGGAATCTGTGCTCTCATTAGATAGACTGAAAATTAAGATGCACTTTGCTTCTCGAAAGTGCTTCAAGTTCACTTTTTCCATTATTAAAATCACAATGGATTTTGTAAATTACTCCACATGAACACTGTGAGCTGTACATTACTTTGTCTGACAAGACTTGAGTCCATGATGTCACAGCCTCATTCCTGTAGGCAGTGGAGCTGCTGATCAGTTCTAAAGCTGTAGCGACCAAAGTTGCCTTAAGATGCCTTCTTGTACCACGGGGCAGACAGCAAATGCTATTTGTTTTCAGGATTTCCTCTCTGCACATTTGAATTTGACATTTAATTTAACAATTAAATGGTCCCTCAGAAGAGGAATCCAGCAGTAAAAACAAAGTGAATTGGCATACAGTTCTCAGCAGATCCATCTGTGTAAACTGGGATTTAAAGTCACCTATCCAGAATGAAACAGACTGATCAAAGTCATCCGAAAAGCAAACTATACAAAAACTGCAGAGGGAATAAAAGAAACAGAAAGGAAGTTCCAACGACAGCAGTTCCTGATTCACTTAGAAGCCAACCTGCTTTTCCTGTTTGAAGTGAAGAGTTTGCCCTGATGGAAACAGGCAGAGAAAAGGAAATAATATGCAAAAACATGTAACACAGCACTGTATTTAATCTGATTCACTGACGGAACCCAGAATAAACACCTCAGCTGCAGCACCAGGGCCTGAATCCTTTTATAAGAGGATCTGCAGCTTGCCTGAAGACATAAATTCCAATTCTTTTGAAGCTTAATGCTTAACTGCATGCAGTGTAACACTGCAGTTCATAAGTCAGTCCTTCAAGAACTTTAAGATTAATACTACAGGGGATCAGTACTACACGGCCAGTGCAGAGCAGGTTGATCAGGAAAGCAGCACTTTGTACCACAGATGTAAATGCAGCAGCGTTAAGCCATCGTCATTTGGCTGCAGTAAGCAATTGCTGAGCGTTGCTGAACAGAGAAATCAGGTGTGTAGATTAAAGCAAGCCTTACCCACATGCAGGCCTCCAGCCTGACTTTTGAGATGATCGCCCACAGGGAGATGGATCCGCCGCCCAGCTCCTCGTCAGGGCAGATGATCTGATCCGGGTACGGAGGCTCAGGAAAATTAACTGAGTTACATTCATAGGCAGCAAGAGTAACTGATGCTATGTGTGGACCCTGGAAAAACAGAATTTCAAATGGATTTCATGTGAGTTGTAATGAAGATCAAAAGAAAAAACCTGCATTTACCCCATTTGTCTGTGATGCAAAGAACGTAGGCTAAAACTTTCTCTCTTAGGCCACTGATGATGTTAAATATGCTAAATAACACACAGACTTTTTCTAAGACCATCTGAAGGGCCACCTAAGCTATTAATACTTTTTCAAAAAATTCTCCCTTGTCATCAAATACAAACATTAAGGAGTCTTTCAGTTTCTGCCATGGCATCGTACAGCACGGCACTGCTGCCAGGGCAAAGAAAGAATCCTTACTGCTTAAAACAGGAACATTTTCAAAACTTTTAAATGGTCTCATTAAGGCATTTACAGCCAGCAGCTTTATTGGAGCAGGTGTTCTCCCTACTCTTGTTTTCAGAGGATGAAAGCATTTAAATTCTAAGTTTTTTTTTTTTTTTTTTTTTATTATTATTTTTTTTTTATTTTTAACAACCAGAGCTTATCACATCTTCCATTGGAGCTTTGCAACTTTTAGATCTTTCTCCAAAGATCTGTGGCTTTAATTCATGCCTGTATTTCTGCATGTAGCAGAAAGTGACCTCACTGCTGTTTGCTAAAAGTGGTCTGAAATATAAATCAAAACTGTGGTGTTATTTAAATGCCACAGAGATGGATTTCTCCTGCTCTCCATCTTACATTAAACGATTTCTGGGGCAAACCACCAAAAACGAGCATCAGTGTTGACTGAAGAATTCAATGCTTCAGCCTTAAAGAACTGCTGTTATTTTAATAGACAAGAAGTCGGGAGGCAATCCTACAGCTACATTCTGTACTCTGAACCCAGCACTAGGTGCTGTAGAAGAGAAATCCTTTAAATGAGGTCTATTAGACCAATAACCTGATACCTCCCAAAGCCAGATTTCTTACAAAATAATGAGTGAAATAGAAAGTACGATAGAACCCTACGCTGCCATTTCCCCTTCTGAGGCTCCCAAAGCTCACTTTGAAAAGCAGGAGCCTGAGGTATGAGAATCTTACAGTCTTCATTTGCACATGAGAGGGTGAGATGCTGCAGCCTCGCACTAAAGATGAAGCTTCAGTGCCTTTCTAGACTCAAGAAGATTTTAGTTGGGTTCACTCATGCCAGCATTTTAGGCCTCAACGAAGAGACCAGAGCACCTACACAGCCACATCCACACAGCAACTTAGCTCATGGCAGTGAGATACGAATTCTGAAGTTCACTGAAGTAAAATAAGAAAGAAGAGATCCAGAACTTGATACACAAGAAGTGATTTGGAAGGAAGAATGAACTAGTGACTTGCAGCATGTACTAGAGACACTGTGAGAAGTCACATTGACGATGGGCTCCTTTTTGGTAATAGCTGCAAGATCCTCCCCCCCCCTTCCCAGCAATTACTGACCTAAACAAACACTGCATTTCTGTTTTACTCATGGAAGACAGGGGCAAAGACGGATTGAAGCTCTCTTCAAATCACCAAGTACATTCATGGCAAACCCGGTAACTTTTCTCCACCATCTTCTAAAGCTCACAGAATTTAGTTGCACCCCCTGCTTCCCCTCCCCAGTCTGACGGCCAACCTGGGACAGAGAAAGGTCTCTTGAGCCATCCTCCTTAACTCACGGATTTCACCTACAGAAATTGGCAGTAGAAGTCTCTTGAACATGAAATTTGCACGGAGGAAATCCCCATGCACTTGAGTTTAAATGACCATTTCCTACGTTCCCTTGAGATTAAGCGCAAGCTTGCTGCCGAGGCAGGGCGACATGGTGTGTGAATCAAGAAGTATGATTTTCGGTTCCACAAAATTTGGCAGGTCAGCCACACTACGGTACAGCTACAGCCAGCTGTGATGGCAGGCCGTTACTTTCAGTTTTACAGTAGTAAAATATCATCTGTGCTGTAATGAACCTCCCCAGTCCTCTTTGCAAGGTTTCACTCGGAGCGCTGCCAGCATTTCTTCTCAAACTGCACACTGTGGTGTAAAGAAAGCTCCGTGCTCCCAAGAGGATGCAAAGACAGAATGCCTTCTCTGGGAGCTCCTTGCCATGAGCTGCTTCTTCCAATGAGGTTACCACCCTCAGAATGGCCCAACAGTCCCAAAGCATCACCTCCTGTTAAGAGCTTAACCAACAGACGTCTGCAAAAGGAAACATCTTACTAGTGGCAGCCTGTGGAAAAAATAAAGGCATTTGCAAAGCTGCTGTAAATAGCCAACAAGCCACCTGGAGACTACACCAATTGAACATCATTCTTCTGCTGCAATGTGAACAATTCTATAATGGAAAGAAGTTGGAGTTACAGAACCCACTGAAGCCACATTTTAACTGGAATAAAAAATAAAGCATAAGCAGTTCACGTAGAGCGATGAAGTGCAGGGTCTTTGAAATCAGGGAGAGCCAAAGGAGAGCAGAACAATCCCGTGTCCTCGCAGTGCAGCCCAGCTGTCCTGCGAGTCAAAGGGCCAGCAGCTCGCAGCTCGGCAGCCTCATGCATCACCCCCACATCTGCTTTTGTTCAAGCGCTGCTTTGAGAGCTCACACAGAGCTCAGCACTTCCACAGAGCCCGGTTACCAAGCACCTCCCAAAACAATGGCTGGCTGACCAGGGCTGTGGCCGCAGGGAGGGTCTGCGTGTTGCAGAACAGGCACCATTTTGCTCTGTGGGGCTGTTTTAACTCTGCTTTAAGAGCACGGGGAGCCAACTCCAGGTGCCACCTTTGGGAAATCCCAGGCAGTCCTCACTCAGATGCACAATCTGTGCCCCTTTGAGTCACAAGGACTCATTTCACACTGGTTTTTAACCCTCTCCAAGCAATACTTTCCCACCACCTTCTCCCCCTCTGCACATACTCTGAGGTTTACCTCTTTCAATGCTTTAGGAAAACCTCTAAGACATCTCCTCTGCAACTCCACCTTTAAAAATAGCTCCATAAAACTACTTCAAACCCTCATACCAGACAACAAACACTAAAACCAGCCGACTCAGTAGACGTGCTGCTTGCCAAACCAGGAACAGTCACAGAAATTCGAGGCATGCAAGATCCTGAACACAACTGTCTTTTCCTCACCCTCTTCCAATGAAGTTTTTTTTCCCCCATTGCAGGAGGCACTCACAAGGGCCAACGCAGGAGAAATTGAGAAACGTTCTGCTGACTCGGGCTAGAAGCATTTGCTTGCCACTGCTGACGACCAGCAGGAGCCTGTGGTCAGGCTGGAATGCCATTTGTTAGAAATATCTGTGCCATTTAAAATCAAACAGGACAAGAGCTGGTCACCAAGAGCAACTCAACATAAATCTATGCTTTAGTAATAGTAATCTGGGGAACGGCTGGAAATCCCTATTTGCACAACTCTTAGAGAAGGCAACCTTGAACTCCTGAACTCACAGCCTTCAGAGAATTTGGAAGTTTAGTGACTGAAGTCACCCCAGATAGAATAGATGCTGCTAATCCTTAGAAACGAGTTATTTCAAATGTGTTATGAAATGTCTAGAAAGTGGAGTCTTTTTTTAAAAAAATAAAAAAATCTATAAATCACATTTGGAAATTCACCTCTGCAAGGCAAGACCTCTAAAAACACACTGATGTTCATTTTATTTACAACAGAGAAGTCTTTACCAGGAGGAGAAATGACTGCATCTCCAATTAAGAGTGAATCACGTTTTCACGTTATTAATCACTCTGTGCATCCAGACTGTGAACAAACCCATAGCTGCAAACAACTGCATCTCAAAGGCAGTCCTCTCACATGTCCCTGCACACAACAGCCATCCTGCTTGAGTGCTGCAGCACAAGAACAGCATCTAATTTTAACCTTTTCTCTTTGGAGAAGACATAATTTTAGACTGATTCTAATTTAGAAATATTAGAAAAGTGATACGTCTGCAGCAAGAAAAATATTACCCTGAACTCACTGCTGAACTTAATGCACTAAAAATCTGTTTTCCTTCGTGAACATGGAGCTTTTCACACTGGCCTCAAGACTCAGCCCTTCCACAGTCGGGGAAACATGTCATTTATATTTGATTCAGATAAATTAGAAAAGCAAAAGCTTGCTTCTCATGGGAAACATCCTGCAAGCGTTGCCCCAGGCTGCGACTCATCTCATACTTGTCTCTGAAGCCACTACACCTCTCCAGAAAGTAACACCATCTTACAGCACATTTTTTTTTATCTCCAGGAGCAGCAAACAGCTGCCCACAAAACAAACTGCTCTGTGATTACAGGAGGAAAACTGGGTCTGGAGGTGGTCAGTAAATATGTTGATGCAGTCTGCCTGTGTGACGAGATTAAAACGTCTCGTGATTTGATGTGCTGTCTGGTATGCAGTATAGGACATAGAAAGGGTCTCAGAATGAAGAAGGATCCCATACCTACAGCATCCTCTGGTGACACAAGTATCCATCAGGCAGCCAGGGCTCTAGCACACCATCATGGCATTTCAAGCAACGTATTAACTTCACAGTCACACGTCTGTTAGCAAGTTTCCATTCCCACTTCAGTCAAGCTTTGCCCCACGGTGCAGAGCTGATGGAAATTCCAAACGATGAGCCACAAGCTCTGAATATGACTGAACATGAACCACCAAGGGAGCAGGCACGTGGTCCTATGGAATGCAGAATGGGGCCATGTTGCTACTTTGAGGAGTAGCAAGAAAAGCAGACGCTTTGTAAAGCTATGCCCACGCTGCTTTCTATAGTAGCAGTCACACGGAGCCACGTCAGGAAAAGGCACAACTGGAAGAATTCAAGTTCATACTCTGGTGCTGACAGAAGACAAAAATAATCTGTCAACATTTTTTCCTCGCCCTTCCTTAGTCAACCACTTATTATTACTAAGGAATAAATCACAGCATCTACTCAAATTGACACTAGCAGTGATGATTGGCTTTAATGCCTTCAATTAGAGATTGCCTTGCACTGTTATCATTATTTCCAGCCTGCTCAAGGAAGCGGGGACGAGAAAAGCACAAAGTTCAG